AACACACCTATGAAATCTTCACCTATTTTTCCATGTTCAGGCTACTGGAGAACTCCTGACTCTTTTCTCATTTGTGGAGTTAATATGATCCCACCATAGAAGAGGCCAACATATAGCTATTTATTAAACAGTTCTTAAGAGGCCTATGAAAACGTACTCACTCTTTTCACACTTACTTTGTATACCCAAAATTATTCAATGAGAAAATGTTTAATTAGTTAACATTCTGTCCAGAAAATAATAAATGATCATTTTTACCTTTAAAGACCGAATCAGGGCCCGATGGGATATCTCAGCAGACTAAGTGTCTGCTTAGGCAAGTGCAGGGACCAGGGTTTGATCCCTGGCACCACATGCTGCACGGGTCCTGCCCCCTGGCTCGTTAGCCAGCCAGCTGAGACCAGGCGTGGCAGGGCATGCCTGTAATCCCAGCGCTGGGGAGGCTGAATACAGGAGAATCACTACAAGTCCGAGCTGCTTAGCAAGACCCTGCACCAAATACATTAAAAAAAAAAAAAAAAAAAAAGGCCAAATCAGCCTGGTGCATTTTCCATCCAAACATTGTCTGTAACATCTGATCTTCTTATGATTTCATTCTACTATGTTTTGGTTGCGTTGCACTTTAGGGCAGAGACTAGCAATCTTTTTCTATAAAACCAGATAGAAAGGATTTCAGGCTTTGTGGGCCATATCATCTTTGTCACAACTTAAAATCTTGCTGTGTTAGGCAGCTCTAGACAATACACACACACACACACACACACACACATTATTGTGTTACAATAAAATGTTATTTGTAGATACTGAGATTTGCCGTTAGTATCACTTCATGTGTCATAAATGTTAGTGTTGTGCTTTTTTCCAAGGTATTTTAAAATGCAAAAATATTCTTAATATGTGGGTTACAAGAATAAGCACGTGGCCAGAATTAGTCAATAGATGGATACACAGACTTCTTTGAGGGCGAACCTTCATTCAAGCACAGTCCTAAGGAAAAGTTTCCAATGATGGTTCTGCTTATAAATAGCTGTCTCTAAGGGTACATTCAGAGATTAGGGATCATCAGCATGTTTGTAATTGTTATTGGTTGTCCCACTTTATTGCCAGGTGCATTGAAAATTACTGTAAGAGATTTTTTTCATATATATGTATTTCCAGAATGAAGGATGGATGGCTTTGTTCTGTTTGGGAATTCAGTTCTCTGGGTTAATAATTTCATGGCTTTACATCACATTTTCTTTGTCTGGAATGTCTGAATTGCCAAGTGTTGTTACAGTTATATTAAATATTAAAGGCTATGGAAGGGGAAACTATGTTTATATCTTCTTGGAAGCCTTGCTTTCAAGATAAAAGGTACTTTTTATTATTTACTGCTGTAATGTATCCCTGAAAAGATGAGTATTTCTGAAAAGGAATCTGGCTGGTGATCTGTTCTGGAGATTTTCATACTGAAGAAAATCTAAACTCAAGGGTGCCCTGAAGTTCACTGTAGCACAGAATATGCACACGTAAAACCTCCTTTTTTCCCTATGTGCCTGCTGTTAGTTACCAGGCAAGCGTTGAGGGGGTCTGCAAAAATGTTTTCAACTTTAAGCGTAATGGTCAGAGCCAAAACATCATCTATTCCAGGCTTCAGCTGAAAGTGTGAATGTTCAGCAAGAGGATATTTTTAAAAAGAGACTGAAAATTCACGGTGCCAGATACCTAAAACGTTGTTAGGGTATTCAGTGGAAAATTTCATTTCCACATTATAAATAACTGTAGGATATTTTAAGGCATCCAAGACCAGTAACCTCCAAGAGCTGCTTATATTAGTTCCACTGAAATGCTTAATGGAGGGAGGATGCCGAGGAAAGCAATAAAGCTGAATTACCGGATATGATTAATTAAAATAAATAATCTCACCATTGATGGAATTGCCCTTAAAACCCCTAACCATTGAGGCCTGCACACTTCACTGCGAAGTGAAACAGAAAAACCAAAATAGTGCTGGAGAGAGAAAAAGTCCCCAAAATGATTTCTTAGATTCCAAGAGCCCTAGAAGATTTTTTCTCTTTCTTTCTTTCTTTCTTTCTTTCTTTCTTTCTTTCTTTCTTTCTTTCTTTCTTTCTTAAGCTCCCCTAGGAGCCCATATTTGAAATACTGACTGGCAAGGCCTTCGGATTTCTGGGAGTTCCCTGTTCTGTGGGCTTCTTGGGAGTCGGTCGAACCCCGGAGAAGGCGGAATATCACTTACCAAAGAATCTCTACCGTCCCGTGACCACAGAAATAATACTATGTTTCCTGTAACCCCGACCCTGCTTTGCAGGCCCTACACGTTTAAACAAACAAGTTAGACATCTCTGTTAGACAGTGGAATGACGCGCCTAAAGTAAAAACTGCCCCAGTAAGGGGGTGGGGGCGGGCGTGAATGTGAGTTGTGCAGGTGCGAGAGCATTCCAGGGCTGTGCCGGGTAGGAGAGTCATGGGTGCAGTCTCTCTTTTGCTTTTTTGGGGGGGAAGCCTGGCTCCTCTTCCTGGCTGGGGCGCCGGTCGCCGGCCAACTTGCGCACGCACGCCTGAAGCGCAGCGGTACTCAAGGTTAGAGCTCTCCCCTGTGACCAAAAAGATAATTAAAAGTTGCAGGCGCAGCAGACAGCCCAGCCTCTAGCTGAGCGCTGTGGGTCTCGCGTCCCTGGGTTCTCGCACCCGCTGGTTGCGCGGAACCTGTTAGGGAGGGCATCAGGCAGCTGGCGGTGCCCAGGGGCTGCTCCAGGGAGCGAAGAGCGGCGGTGGCAGGCAGATGGGGAGGGGAGTCCGGGACACGGCGGGGCTTCGGTGCTTGGAAGGATTTGAGGGAGAGGGGAACGGGAGGGAAAAGTGGGGCAGGGAAAGACCCAAGGGAAGGCGTGGAGTTGGGTATGGAGAAAGTAAGGTGGAAGAAAAAGACTCAGAGACAGGAGGGAGTAGTGAGCGCCTCACCTCCTTAGATGGAAAAGGGGCCGAGGGACCACAACCAAACCCGCGGGGTCCACTGAGTATCTCTTGATGCGCGACCCAGGTCCACAAGATCCAGCAGCCATGGCCATTGGGTTTTGTACGGATACCCGGGTACCGCGCGCTCAGGGCATCCAGGCCCCAACCTACACACACCTTTCAAGGAGAGAGAGCCGCCTGCTCCTGGCCATAAAAAAACACCCTTAAGGGGTAGGTGGAAAGCTTTAAATAGGACCACAGGAAGTGAGCGACGACCCAGCCACCTTCCTCCCCAAATCCCCCAGGGACAGGAACTCGAATTTTTCATTTCTTTCATAAAAATTACGTAGGTAGGTGTCAGCTAGCCAATTAGGAATCATTGGGACTTCGTGGCAAAGGACTCTTTTCTGCGAGCATTTTGTCAGGCTTTGGAAGATTTAAAGGATTAAGATGCTCGCGCCGGAGCGGTGGCAGGCAAGGGCAACCGGCCGCGCCTGTCTCTGGATGCAGCGGGGTCCCCGCTTTGCGCGCGCCCGCGGGGCCGCCTGTTCTGGAGGCACAGAGTCTGGGGCTGATCCGAGACACCCACGTGCTGCTGACTCTCATCAGCGTAATGATCGCCTTCGCTAGAGTCGTGTCTATATAAACCGCAAAAAACTAATCATTAGAAATCCCAGCCTCCAAAAACCACATTTTAGGTTAAAAAACAACAGCCTCCCCCCGCCCCCCGCTCCCCTGCAAAACCCCTGCATTACCCTCCCCCCCCCCGCGCGCTCCTTCATCCAGGTTTGGACACGCAATCTTTTGGGGGATCCAAAGATCGCCTTTTTAACCCACACTGGGAAGTAAATACATAAATAAATAGCCACTGAAACGTTTGAAAATTTTTATTTAATTTTATATCCCACTCTCACCTCGCGAGCGGCAAAAAGTGAAGACTTAGTTTGAGATGCAGGTTAGACTTAACACAAGATTCAGATTATAGAAAACTGCTACCCCCCAACCCCCAGCAAGGGCTTCGCAACTTATTTTAACGACCAAGCTGACAGTTTTCCAGTTCTTTAAAAAACCTCATCCTCGTTCTTAGGAATGACAAGAATGAATACATAAGAAAAAAGAAGTGTCCAGCCATCCACATGAGTCATTAAGAATTATTTTGACAAGTCCCCTCCCTAACCCTCACGCACACCTCGGGGTCCCCCTCCCCATTTTTTGGTGTCACCTGAGGCAAAAAGCCCCGAATCCTGCAAAATCTCTTTTCTCCGGGAGCCACTGCGCAGGGTGGGGTGGGTGGGGGAGGGCGACGCGCCGAGAAGTCAGCAGGGACGCGCGAGAATTTTCCTTCCTCCTCTCCTGTAGCTGCTGCAAAAGCCACCTACAGCGGATCAGCCGGCGGTGGCCCGCCTCGCCCGCCCCTCAGGGCTCCTGTCCCGCGCGCTGGGGACGCGGTCCGGGGAGCGGGGCGGCCCGGTGCCCGGAGCGCAGCGCAGCGCGCGGCTCCTCCTCGCGGCCGGCGGGCGGCGGCAGCGGGCGACTCGCGGGCCGGGGACGCGGTGCCTGGAGATCCCAGCGGCCGCTTGCAGGGACTCACCTCCGGGCCCTCGTCGCAAGAGGGACGCGGGGGTTCAGCGGAGAGCCAGAGGGAGCGAGCAGAGGGCGCGCCCGCCGCGGCTGGGCGGAAGGAGCCGCGCCGGGAGGAGGCGGAGGAGGAGGAGGAGGAGGAGGAGGAGCAGGACACGGCGCGCGGGGCCTCGCCGGCCGCGGGTGGACTCCAAGCCCGCTCTACGTCGCACTTTCACGGGAAGGGAGCCCTGCACCCCGCGTGCGGTGCCCGAGGACCCGGCCCGTCCGCCCTGTGCCGCCTCCCGAGCTCTCCGGGTCCCCGCGGCGTCCGCCCCGCGCCGCCCGCTGACTCCGCCCGCCGCCGGCTCGTCGGACTTGACTCTTCACCTCTGCACCCCATCACCTCGTCCCCTGCCTCCCCCTCGATTTCCTCCTCCTCGCCCCCCGCTTCCACCCTCCCGCCCCTCCCCCGGCCGCCGCGCTAACTCGGGGCTGTGATGCGTGTTCCCGTAGATCCGAGCACCAGCCGGCGCTTCAGCCCCCCCTCCAGCAGCCTGCAGCCGGGCAAGATGAGCGACGTGAGCCCCGCGGTGGCCGCGCAGCAGCAGCAACAGCAGCAGCAGCAGCAGCAGCCGCAGCAGCAGCAGCAGGAGGCGGCGGCCGCCACAGTGCCGCGGTTGCGGCCGCCGCACGACAACCGCACCATGGTGGAGATCATCGCCGACCACCCGGCCGAGCTCGTGCGCACCGACAGCCCCAACTTCCTGTGCTCTGTGCTGCCCTCGCACTGGCGCTGCAACAAGACCCTGCCGGTGGCCTTCAAGGTGAGAGGCTGCGGCCGCCCCCGCCCCCGTCCCCTGCCCGCCTCTCAGTGAGCGCCCGGCCCGCGCCCTGGGTCTCCGCTGGGTGTCACCTGTGCCGGACCCTGGTCCCTTGATCCTGGACACTAGGCACAGTTCCCAGCGACTCCACCCCGCCCCCTTCCCAACGGTTGTCGCGTGTTCTGATCTCTATCCCGCACTTCAGTGCGTGCACCATCATCCACCACCGGCGTGCGCCCGGCCACTGAGGCCCCTCCCGGGCTCTGGCCGGCGTTCGCAGGGTGCAGGGGTGCCAGGGAACGCAGTGCTTGTGAAGGTCCCAGGTAGACTGAGCCACACCAGGCTGGGACGAGAACGCTGTCGCCCGAGGAAGGCGGGGCGGCCGGGTCCCTATCGCTGGTCAGGATGTCAGGATGTCAGGGTGCCGGGGTGAGGGAGCCCCGAGCAGCTTGGACTCGCCTGGCTTGAATGCCGGGGTAAAACGTCGCAGCAGTGCTCTGTCGTTATTCTTAGGGGATCCCCAGGGCTCGATGGGTGGGATCCGTTAGCTCCCCGCCGTGGCGAGGTGAAGGTGCTGGGTCCTTTAGGCCCAGGACGCGGCCCAGTCCCCAGGGCGGCCCTCACCAGGGGGAAACTAGGAGCCCCCGCAGTCCAAACTCGCGACTGGACGCCAGGGATGCAGGGGCGGTGAGCCAGGCGGGGCGGCGAGTGCGCTCTGGAAAAGACGCCCCCGAGCTCTGGTGGTCGGTGGGTGGGCGCGCGTGCTTCAGTCCCCTGGCTCAGGGGTATGCGGAGAGCGGGGTAAACAGGGCCTGGGGGAAGAAAAAGGACACGAGAGGAACCGTGCCAGTGTCTCCGCGGGACCTCGGAGCTGCCCTCCCACGGGCCCCTGGCAGTGCCCAGGGGTGGATCACCCCATACCCCCACGCGCCACTTGGGGTTCCGGGTGTGGGTGAGTGGAAAAAAAAAGGAGTCTAGGTCAATTAAAGCCAGTTATCTGGCTAGGTCTGTATCAGAACAGAAATCAGAATGCACTTTATGGAAGGGGATGCTGAGTTCTGGGACAAGTTTCATTTTGCAGCTGGCTCCAGAAATGGTCCTTTTTTTTTTTTAAATCGTCACATCTCTCCAAAGCACTTATTCTGTAGGTTAATGCTTTCTTCTTTGAAGTAGGAAAAGGTCAGGATATATGCGAATTGTAGTAAAGTAAAACTCCACAGAAGAGTATCTTTTAAGACTCTCTTTTTGTCCAAAGACCCAGAAATTTCTAAGTAGCCTTATGGGATGTTGGGAATTTGTTAACAACCCCCCAACGCCCCAGAGCAAACCAAAAACCCCAAACCATTAATGAGAACAGCAAAAAGTACAACTGAGTAGAGATTTTGTCTATAGGATGCCAAACATGAGAGTATATGGGGATATAAGGATAGATGCTTACCCTTTAAAAAGTGTTACTTGTTTGATGTTTTATGTATGGTTCTGCTACACATGTTAAATGTATAACTGTCTCAAACACTCCTCTTCTGTTCGTGATGCTGAATTGTCTTTAACCATGAGAGTTCTGGGTAGAAAGGATGATTTTGGCCCACAGAGGGCTGTTTAGTTTGAGCTATTTGGTGTGCTTGTTATCTAGGTTTTCTCACTGCTATCCTTTTAAAGTTGTTTAGAAAATAAACTTCTTCCTTTGCTGTTAATCATACATACTAATTACACAGAGAACGTTTTTGTTACTTCAACCACTAGGCAGAGCATAGATAACAAAACCATAGTAAATTGAATAATTTATATTAACAGGAAAATCAGTTGAGTTTACCTAAAAACCCACTCTCTGTGTTTTACCTTTTTCCATACCCATGTTTTGTAAGAATTCACAAAGAAGGTTGATTGTGGAGAGTTACTCAAAATAGAAGTTTTGTCTCTCTGCTTAAAACAGTGTACAGATATTTAGACATTCAGATTTTGAGTGCTTTTATTATTTTTTTATAATTTTCCCTTGAATGATGTAAAAACAACTTTTAATACAAAATCTTCCTTTTGGAATAAAAGCCTGAGAGCAGTAGACTCCCTGTACTCTTGCAACATAATCAAATACATCTGCAATGGAGAAGTACTATGAAGAAGTCTCTGTTTTAAAAGTGGTGACAGCAATTTGGCTATCATATTCAGAGCTATGTACAGAATAAATTATAGTGTTGTTAGGTGGATAGCAGAGAGGTATATGCAGTTTAAGACACATACAGAGAACTTAATTGTCTAGAAGTCTGGTATTCAAATCAATACAATATTTATTGAGCCCATATTTTATGTCTGGGACACTGAGCTGGGCATTGCTAAGAATCAGAACTGAATTCAGCAGACTGCTTTGATATAATAATTTAAAATAGTACTCCAACATGGTAGTGACAATGTATTCCATTAAGAAGGAGTGTTTAGTATTGTTCATGTGACCTTGTTTTGGGATTATATAAAAATAATTTATACTTCAACGTGTAAAATGCAAAAAGCAACTAATGTGCTTTATATAAAGTTGTTTATTGTATCTTTAACAGAGTTTTGCAGTTTTGAAATGTTCAGCTCCCCAGGTGTCAAGGAAATGGAAATAAATATTTTTACCATTTCTTTCAGGTGTACTTCACAGAGAGCTTAAAATAGTTAAAGCATACTGTTAGGGGATCCCAAGCCCTGTCTGTCCCAGATAATGCTAGTGACAAAAAAGTAGCTTGCAAATTCGGCTCATTAATTGATGGTCATATAGAAAGAGTGGAGAGAACAGTTCAACCCTGCATGTAGTAGCATCCTTCAGCAGGCATCTGTCAGCATTTCCACTGTGAAGTCTGGTGTTCAGGGTTCATAACTAAGTTGTTGTAAATAGCTTCAAGCTGAAACACTATGCAGAAAATTTAAGTCCAGATGTATCTGAAAGTAATGCAAGCCTATAGCACTGTTTTAAGTTAGAGAACACTGGACTATATATATTTACCAGTTTCATATGCTTTTCTGGCAATGCTAAAGAAAGAAAATATATTTTTAGATATATGATTTAGTACTCATAGTTAATTTTGTATCTTTAATAGTACCCTTCAGTATTATGAAAAGAGAGTTTCAAAATGACAGAGCAATTTCTATTTGAAAATAATTTTTGACATTACTGGCCGTTTTTTTCTCTTCAAAAGCAAGATACTAGTGAGTTGTATTTTTCCTATATATTTAATGACCAAATTTTATGTTTTTGTCTTTCTAAATCTAATTACATCTAAATGTGGGAAAATAGAGTATTAAACATATCTATTTCTTCTAAACAACACAAATTGTTATATAAAATACGTAAATCAGAGTAAATTTCAATTTTTTAGATAGTCACATTTTTCTGTTATGTCTTTAAACACAACAAAGCTTAAAGTCAAATATTTTAGCATTAAATATGAAACTGGGAAATTAGAACAAGTAGTCTCAGATGGAAAAAAAATTTAAAAATTTTGGAAACCTATATTTGAGAAATAGCATAGTAGATAGCTTTCATTATTTTTCTCCTGAGGAGCTACTGTTCTATCCTTTCAAAATTCCAAAATATCTATTGTTGGATGATCCAGACCATCTTAAGACATGATACATAAATTGTTGGCTTAACTTGAAGGCATTTCCATCAAAATATTTCCTTGGCATATATTTTTTAAAAATTGAAATTATATTTCATATTTATTTATTTATTCATTTTCTTTAGTTCCATTGGCCTTTCCTTAAATGCTAGGTTAAATTCCAAAAGTTAACTGTAGGATTGAAATTTTTTCTTATTTACTTAAAAATGGAAAGTGATTTTTGACTGCTCTTTGCTTTTTGCCGATTACTAGTTTGCTTCTGTTTGTAGGATAAAGAAAGATTTGATCAGATTCTGTCTTGGAAAATAATTGTATTTTGAGTATACTGCACATACAGTATGTCAGTGAGGTTGACCTAGGAGAGTAATTGATAAACTGAGGCTGGACTGTTGTCCATGGGATTATTATGGGCATCTTAGTTTCCAGTACTGCAAGACCAAAGAAATAGTTTCCAAGGTCTAGGTTAATTTTTCATTGTTCCTCTTTTAGAGTGATGCAGTTTTATTCCTAACACATCGCAGACAAAATTTCAATAGTTTGGCTACAGTTAAAGACCCTTTTGCTTTATTTGGTACAAGCTGCATATCATGTGATTTAAATGCTAGTTATAGTGAGGTGTGCTAAATAGGGGAACTTCTTTCTTAATTCTGAAATGTTAGAGGAGAAATTACTTCTCCCTTTCCCATGAAATTTCTCGAAGTGATAGATTTTATATTTTAAAAGGACCTAGAAACATAAGTGTTACGGCTTTACCACGAGTGGTTTTTTGCATAGCAGTACTTTTGAATGCAATAGCATGGAAACAAATTTAATTTGAACTTATTTCTAAGCAAAAAGTGATTTTTAACTGCTCTTTGCTCCTTAAAATGTTTTTTCCATTGTTTGGGTTTGTTACAGATGAAACACATGAAAATTTCTTGATTCTTTTGGTTTTCTTTTAGATAAACACAGTTGAGATTCTCTAAGGGAAACTTTTCAGTTTCAGGGATCTACTTAAAAAATTCCCCTCAGACATATAATTATACCTCTGATTAATATAGTCAAATACAGTATGCACCCTCCTCTGCACATCCACCATTTCCCCTCTCAGAAAAACACTGGGCAGACTGATTTGGTCGAAGGAATAGCAGAAAAAACAATATTTTTAGCCATTCAATTCGCGTTTAGTCATAACAGGAAAGCTTGCCACTACATTGTTAGTATTTTTTTCAGGCCAAGTTCTAGGCCCCTAGATGACTTGTATAATTTGGGATTATCTATTTGTTCTGTTAAATATGATATGTAAAACATACCAGTATTTAATATGGTCATTATTATGCTGCTTAAGCAAAATAAAATGGATTTATGTATTTCACTCTTAGGGTTTTTTTCTTTCACATTTTCCCATATTGAATCAATTTTCTTTTTCTTTAAAAAAATCTATTATGTTAAAAATATGCAGTGAAATAATAATGTCCCACAGCTCTTGAAAATTTTTATGTTGGGGAACATTTTCTTTCTTTCTTTCTTTCTTTCTTTCTTTCTTTCTTTCTTTCTTTCTTTCTTTTCCTCAAATTTAGTCTGACTGGAGGGAAACTGACCAGCAGACATCCCTTGTCTCTCAGCCACTCCAAAGAACATCTCAGGACATGAACTAAGGAATTACATATTCAGTTGAACCCTCAGAGGATGCTTGTAAGTGAAAGCCTATGTTTAACAGCCTCGCAACAGAATGCCAAGCTACCCTGTTGCTTTTACAAAAAGCAGATCATAATTACACTCTATGCTTATATAGTATCTTCTACATTTTACAGACTTTTAAGAATTATTTCCAGCTTATACTGGAAAACAATGTTTCTCCTTACTTGTGGGAAATAGTAGATATGTAACCACAGTAGGGGAGAAAGGTGGAACCTTTTGATTTCTAGTACATTGATTCTCTGAACAGTACAACCTTTTTCCTGTCTTTATTAATACTTTTCTTTGACCTAGAAAGTAAAGCAGGTGTTAAAACACAGTATGCTAAGTGTACAGAATATCAAACATCCAGGCATATACTGACAAACATGAGCAGTTATTTCAGTCTCTCAAAATGTGCCTCTTTTTGGCATTGTGGATTTGAAGTACACATAGCCACTCTCCGGAGTGTAGCATGCACTGTGTTCACTGTGCCCCTTCAGGGACTAGGTCAGGTATGCAAGAAGGAAGTCTTGTTCTCAGAGGAGTTGCTCTTGACCTAGAAGACCTCTCAGATCGAGCATAATTGTACACCCCACAGAACTAGTCGTCACCATGATGCCGCGCCTCTGAAATGGAGAAAGTTGCCAGAAGAATAGTCTAGAGCCAGGGCACACTGCTGTTGGCAGGGGAGGCTGACTCAACCTTTAACCTGTTCTCTTTCGTTTTTAGCTGGTAGCTCTACAGGCCCCTGGCTGTGGAAAGTGATGCTCTTTTGTTTATTTATTTTAAAAATATTTGCCAAACCATTACTATGTCCTGGACAACATTTTTGGCATCGGAGCATCTAGTAGTAAGACAGATGAGTTGAAGGTCCCTTCCTTCCTGTGGTTCATATCGTTTCTACAAGAATATAACTTGTAGAGTCCAAGAGACCCTGGGCTTTGGGATACATAGCATCTTGAAAGGAGAAGGTTGATCATTAACAAGCATGCATTGAAATGGGTACCACTTAGCTACAGTGGGATGCTGGGAAAGAGGATGCTGCGCATTCAGTAAAGCTTTACACATCATGGCTACCTAAAATATGAGTATAATGATACCTGTTTTATCACATCCAGAGAACTCTTGAATAAGAGTTTGCACCTGGCATACTGGGCACATGGAATTAAATGTTTAGGTTTGTCTTATGGAAATCTTGGGCAAAGGGGAGAGGAGCCCTACAAGTAGAGAAAGATCAGTGGGATGTTTGCCAGATAGGCTGGCACACAGGAGTGTCACTGTTTGGGTCATGGGCTCCATTAGTGGGAGCTTTTGTCTCATTATCATCGAGGCATCTACAAGCCCAGCTTAGGAGAAGTGGAAATAATCTGATCCTGGAAGTGAGGTGAGAGAAGAGGGTTGTCATCAAGGGCAAGATCTTGGTCTTGTGTATTAAGAGCAGTATTTTATATGTAACAGTGAAGGATCTACATGGCCAGAATTCCCTTACTAGGCTCCAGACTCCAGGCTGCAGGTGATTCTGAGGTGCATTCTTGCAAATGAGCTGACCCAGGGTAAGCTGGGATCCCTACACTTGCTGCTGAGAAAACATTTGTTAGCCTCCATGGCTGATTATTCTGGGTTTTTACTTGCCCAACTTAATGTGCTGTAGTTGACTGTTGAAGGCAGCAAATGTTTCTTTTTTGTTAAGACAGGAAAGGTTTATTTAGCTCATTTTTTAGCGGTTTCAATCCATAATTGGCTGGCCCAAGGCATGGCAGACAGGCATTACAGAGGAGAATCAGATCCCAGAAGGGCAGAAGGTAGCAAAAAAAGCAAGCAAGGGGGCAGCAAATGTTTCACTCCAAGGTGGCAGATGGATTAAAGACACATAGCATTGTCGCTGAGGGTATACACTTTGTGACTTTGCTATGCATTTGTCTTTGAGCATTTACAGCCTGGTGCATATCTTCATTCCACACCTAGACTTTAAGTGTTTTAATGATGTTAAATATCCCAGTGGGTCCTACTGCATAGTGAATATTCAGTAAATACTGAAGATGGAGCCTGAAGTAAGGAAATGTAATATAGCCCTAATGCCCCCCAATCCAAGGCTCCATGTTGAGTTCTCCCTTGCAGCTGCCCAGGCTCTTGGTTCTCTAGCCCTAGATCCACATGAGACCACCTCTCAGGGTTCTCCAACTGTAGACAGGAGATGCTTTAATGTGTATGATGCAATCTGCAGCTGGGGCATCCACCTTTCTTCTGAGGCCTAATTCTTGTGGACAGCTCAACATGGGGATTTAATAAAAATGTACACATATCCTGTGAAGACTCCAGCAACAAATGAAGGAAATTTCTGCCTGCCTTGAAAATGGGTGGACCCCAAAACCCTGATCTGTTTGAAGTGGCATGTAACTGCCCCCCCCCATACAGATGCTTCGTTCCTGTCTGCCATTGCTGGCCCAGGGCACCAAGTCCTGATAAGACACGTCGTTTACAATGAGAATATATTTTCAGTTTTTAAGTTTTTCTGATGGGCGATTATTGCTGCTGTGTTTCCTGTTTTATGTAGGTGGTAGCCCTAGGAGAAGTACCAGATGGGACTGTGGTTACTGTCATGGCGGGAAACGATGAAAATTATTCTGCTGAGCTCCGAAATGCCTCTGCTGTCATGAAAAACCAAGTAGCAAGGTTCAACGATCTGAGATTTGTGGGCCGGAGTGGACGAGGTAGGTCTCTGATTTTTAATACTGATAATGGAATAAACACATTTAAGATCCTCTGATGAAATGTAGACTCGTCTGTATACAAATCAGCACCTTCTTTTACTGAATGGAATTACTGTAAGGTTTTATTTAAGTGCATCCAGACACGGATGAGTGTTTGCCTGAACACCCAGGCCTTTTTCATTTGTTTTATGATATTGCAAATTCAAACAATGTTTTCAGAAGGCCTGGCTTCTAATGTCACTGGGTTTGGGGGAAGGTAGACAGAAGAATGGTTAGGGGAGCAGGTTCTGAGTTGTGAGGAATCACATGGCTGAGCAAACTGAATGGCAAAGAGGAAGGAAAAATGTATGCATTGGCTAATTTTCTGATGATAGCAATATTGTTGTATATTGAAGCAAGAAGAGCTAGCATAATGCCCTTCATTTACCACTCGTATCTCTAAATGAGTTAATTCTCCTAATAAGAACCTATTAAAAATTAGGTCCTTTTTTATTACAGGAGCCTTTTCATTTGAATAAGTGAATAATGCATCACTTATGTTAGAACGGTTATGTGAAGTTGTCTAGACAAATGAATGATCAGGATTCCAACAGTTCCACACTATTTAAGGATTTCCACCATCTGATGCTATCTGCAAATATTAGCAGTCCTTAAAAGGATCATATAACAGGAAGTAGTCCTTTTTTGGATTTTCACAGCTGTTTCATAAATGCAGCTATTGTTTTTGAAAGTCTCTAAGGAGACCAGTATTTTGGTTTTTATCTACTTATTCTATAGAAAGACTTCTGCCAGTCATTCACCGATTAGAAGTGCTATGTTCATTAATTCATTCATTAACTTATGGAATCTGATATTTCCATTTTAAGAATTTCCAGAAGAGAAAAACAGTCTCCTGTGGGACTGAGATCAAATAAAAATTATCCAGCCTTGTGGACTCCCTGCAGCCCAGGTTGGAATTAGCAAATGAGGAGCACCAATTTCTAAGCCATGTCTAATAGCTGCCTTTAGTTTGGATCAGATGTCAAATTATTACCATTGTGAAAGCTTGATAAGGGAAATTCAAGCAAGGCTGTTTCCGATGAGTAGTTTTAGTTTACTTTCTAGGAACAGGGCCAAGAAGTTTACTCTTTAACTTAAGAAAAAAAAATGATGCATGCTAATGAATACTGTCACTGAACTGAAGGGCTTATCTCTGAATCAAGTTTAGTTTATTTTCATTAAAAATAAAGAAGATGCATCCTATACTGATTAGGCTTGAAAAGTGTGTGTGTGAGTGTGTGTGTGTGTGTGTGTGATCTTTTTTTCCTGTTATTAGTTGTTGGTATAGCAGGTTCTTGGTACAATTAAAGTCTCTCCTTTTTTCTAGTAAAAATCGAGAAAAAATGTGAATATGATGGTTTACCTGTACTTTAAATTGCATTTTCTTCCTATTTAATATTATTTTATTTGTAAATGAGAATAATGAATTTTAGGATTTAAAGGATGGGTGTTATACTTAATTTTGTTTTATACATCCAAGCTAATGTTTCCATTTATTTGTGCTTTTGCATTATATAGATGCTGCATAACTTTTTTTCTGATCAATTTGAGTAGAAACTATGGCAAAGTGATAGTGTACTTTGTAAACCCTCAACATATTTATTTAAGAAACTTCAAAGAGAAACTAAGGGTGTGCGCTGTTTTACTATATTGGCTTTCTGAGTTTTGGCTGGTTTCCCAAATAGCAATTTTTATATTTAAAAAAAAAAGACAGACTTAACTGCTTGCAGACTTTTCACGCATGGAAGATGAAGAAAGCTTCTTTTGATGAAGTGTAATTATGTCCAAACAGAGCTGACCCCCTCCCCCTATATTTCTTATGATCTTAACTGAAGAAAGTAGGATTTTTCCTTTGAAGCAGCCGGGACTTGGTGGAGGATCTGAAATGCTCCAGTCTGCTGCCAGAGGCAGGATGGAGAAATTGGTCCAGACTTGTCTTCAGGACTTAGATGGGGGCGTGGGGGGAGCTGGTGGGGGGAGAGAGAGAAATTGATTTATCATTAATAATAGATTTTTCTATCACTACAATAACATTCTATGAAAGGAAACAGAAATAGCAAGCTACAATGGAGAGGACAAAAAAAGGACAGAGAACACTGATAAGACAGCAATTTGAAGAAAAGCAAAGTGGGTCAGTTTTTCAGTGGCAGGAAACCATTTAACCTGCCCATGTAGCCTTTGTACCTGACCTCCTTCTGTAACAGCTTCTTTCCAGCTTCCTCCTTGATTTTCACACTTCTCCATTTCTCTTGTTTTAGGCTTATCAACACACTGCTACCATTTTAATTTTTTCCCCCCCTTAGCTTTACAAACTTGTTGTTTGCAGTAGTGTTAGGAGATTAAAAAAAAAAGAAAGGAAAAACCTCCAAGCTCCACAGATGTTACACGTCTTTTTTTTTTTTCTTTTCTCTTGTAGAAATGTAAGCTGTCAGAAATTGAAAAACAGTCATAGGTTTAGAAGGGAGTCCTGTCACTACTTACTTGGGCTTTATGGGTCGGCTTATGACCACAAATTTTAAAAATGCTTGGGATGAAAGTAGAGCGTCAATGAAACTCGCATTAGGTTAGGAGGGGCTTATGGGTTTTAATTGTCTTTTCCTTTTTCCCTCCTTTGTATTTTAAACAGAAATGTTCAAAGTGACTTTGGCCCTTATTTATTTATTTTTTTTTCTGCTGTGCTTCCTCTCATTTGACATCAAGCATGCTGCTTTTAATTTTTGAGCATTTTTAAGTGTCTACAGTGGACAGAGAGTGGTATTTTCTCAGTGTGGGATGCCATCCAGCCTTCAGCCTTAGCTCACCTGACTTTCCTAGCCCTTCCCTCTAGGCTGGAATTGCTTATCAGGGACAATTCCCTGCGATTACCTTAACTATATGACTTGAGGACATGGTATAGGACTAGTTCTTAGATTGGGTTGCAGTTAGTTATCCCCAAGGAAGAGCTTCCCTTTTTATCATCACTCTTAGGAGACTATAAAGATGGGATTTGGAAAAAGCTTTTTGTTTGTCAACTTAAAGGAATTAGGAATGCCCACATACCTGCTTGACTCAGGAAATGCATTGCTCTGAGAGGAAGAATCCGTGACCAAGTTGGGTCACAGTTGCTGCAGTTTTTCTTTGACATTGCATGCGTGTTTCTTTGGAGGGGGCAATAGGAAATGGAAGGAACTCCTCAATTTGTGTTTTAATTGTTAAAGTACATCTTGATCCTGAGGATTTGGTTTTGGAAAGAGCGTAGTTACACTTAAATGTTTCCTCCCCCGAACCCACCTCTTCTCAAAGGAAGTTTTTAATGGAGAACTTGTTCCGCTCTGAATGTTTAGACACTTTCTTTGTACATGAAGGGTGAATTTGCAATTTGGCTTTGTTTCTGAGTGAAGTGTTTCCCTGAATTTGGGGGAAGCAAAGATGACTTTTAATATTCTAAATAAATTGTAAAATTCTAAAATAGAAATAGCCTCAACACCAGTTTAGGTTAACGTACAGTATCTCTAGCAGGTTACTTAGAGATGGGAAGGGTAATGGCAAATATACATCTTTAATTTAATAAAATTAGTGCCACTGATGATGACTGTGTTCCAACCACAGCCATCGGAGCCATGGTTAGAATGCAGTTTTGGGTCCAGGGACCACTGACCTGATCCAGAAAGGGACTGCATAAGGTGCCAATGTAAAGTGACTTTCAGCCTAACTGTACAGCTGTGTCTTTCCACTATTTTGAGGTCTTCTTCTGGACCCACTGGCTTCCTATTCATGTTTCTAATCTCTATTTCTGTAGACTTTCAGTTTTCTATGACTAATTTAGACTCCTGGCTGTCTTATTTAAATCCATGTAACATCTAATGTATATTGGAAGACATAGGGTACAAAAATGGCACCATAAAGACACGTGATTTCAATACGCCGGCTAAGATGTTCTGTTCTTCCATTTATATTTACTGCTTCTTAGGCACAGAGAGCTAATTGAGATGCATCTAGAAATACCTTAGATTTTTGCTTGTTTGTATTCTCTGGCAAAGTCGCAAAATTGTTTAAAAAGTATTAATTTTAAGATCAGAAAGACCTAGGTTCAGATCCGTTTTCCCCCGTATATTAATTCTGCAAACCTGAGTAAATTACGAAGCCTCTTTGGGCTTTGGCTTCCTCTTTTTGTGAAATGGGGGTTGAAGAATCTAACTAGAGAAGATTAAATGAGATAATATGTAGGGAGTAGCTGGATAATAAAATTCAGCTACTCTTACTAATGAGTTTCAGGCCCGGGGAGATAGCTCAGTAGAGTAAGCGCTTGCCTGGCAAGTGCTGGGCCCTGAGTTCAATCCCTGGTACAGCAGAAAAAGAAAAAAAAAGGTTTCTGGTCAATATTAATTTTTCCCAATTCTCCCCTGTCTCCTGCTTCTCTTTGTCTCCCTGCCTGACCCCTTCTCCCCCACCATGGCAAAGTACAGCCAAGAAGACACAAGACTATATGCACTCAGTAACAAATGATGTGTGCCTTAAACAGACTTGAGGAACTTAAACATGGTCCAGGTTGAAAAGAAAACCCATTCACTGGACTTGACAGCCAAAGGACCTGTTTTACATTAAACCTTACACATAACCTGTTCCATATTAAGCTTTGAAAAGATTGCATTAAACTTTGCATTGCTACATATTGTCTAAGATTTGTGTTTTGATTTAATACCCTCAGCTTTCAGTAAAAGAAGGAAAAAAAAGGTCTGAGAGAAAAAAAAAAGCCAAAGCAAACGAGCTTTTTATCTGTTACAGAAGCAGACTAAATGAATACTCTGGCCCCAGATTGCTGAATGTTTTATCGAGTCACCGTTTCACGCCCACTTTTTCCTGTCTTGTAACAGTTTGCAGTTTTGACTATCTGACGTGACTAACTGTTGCAAATCTAACTGATTACAACTGTCAGTGAGTCTGTGTAAGAGAGCCTGCTGGCTCCTGGAGGCACCCAGCATCCAGATCGGCTACCAGCTTTTTCCTGCCTCCCCCCACCAGTTCACTGCATGTAGCTCATTGATTTGAAGCATCAGATGTAATAATTCAACGAAGCAAAGTAAAGATCTGTGTTTACACGAGGAGGTGTCATGTACTTTCTGCAAAAGCTAAGTCCCTGCCAGGGAGTGAGCTCCTTCAGGATTTCACAGCAGAGATGTATGTTAGGGGAGGGGTGAGCAGGCAGGAGAGAAACTTGGTTCCAGTAATGATGAAATCATCATACCACAGGCACATTACGGCCAGGACAGGAGACACTAGCTGCTGTTAAAATGATTCCCATAAGAACTTCCCTCTTTCATCTTCCCATTGTAGTTTCAGCCAATGAAAATGCTAAAGCCATGTGAAGTAAATAACAGAATCAACAATGATTTACTATTGTTCTCTCTTGGGGTCATGACCTAATAATCCTAAATAAAGACTTCTAAAATGGTCTGTGCTTGGATGTGCTTGGACGTTTTCTCCTGATGCTGGAGAGAGAACTGAAAGGAAGAGGCTCTTCCACAAGCGAACCAGGGTTCTTGTCTTCATGACAGCTGCTTCTGCTGCTGCTGCTGCTGCTGCTGCTGCTGCTGCTGCTGCTGCTGCTGCTGCTGCTGCTGCTGCTGCTGCGGAGCTTTCTTGGAACTAGAGCCTTTTCTTACAGTAGTGCAATGAAGATCATGATCTCAGCACTGAATGGGGTTTCCAGTTTAGAGTAAGAGCTCCTCATTCTTGGCTTTTGTGGCCTGCTCAGAGATGCCTACAGCAAACGTGGACCCTGTGCTGCAGTGCACTTACCAACACTGTCTTTTCTATTCACTTTGTACTTTCCCCTCTCACCTCTGCAGGCAAGAGTTTCACCTTGACCATAACAGTCTTCACAAATCCTCCCCAAGTAGCCACCTATCACAGAGCTATTAAAGTTACAGTGGACGGACCCCGGGAACCCAGAAGTAAGTACTTGCCTTTCTAATGCAAATGGTAATAAGAGTTTGTGGAGCCCCTAAAGAGGACTTTATTCCAAATGAATCAGTGTTACCTCTGTGTAACCTGTGTTTGCAAAGTTTGTTAACTGCATGAACTTTTAGAGAGGGACCAGGAGAACCTCACAGTGAACATAAAATAAAATTGCAGTTTTAACCTTTGCCACACAATTACTAAGACCTTTATCACTTTGGAAATGAGTGAATTATGCACTCACTGGGATGACCGGCTAAGAAATTCTGTTCATCCACTGCACGTAATATGGACAGGGTAGAAGAGACCCACGAGAGCTGAGGAAACAGTAAACCTAAAAATCTCCAGCTTACTCAAAAAGCACTCGCGTATGTTTCCCATGGCCTAAGACTGTGTTTTAGCTTTTTAGCTCGCCCACTCAATTCCCTTTATAAAGAGCACACTGCTTAATTACAAAGAATTTATTTGCAAATGATAACTTGCTTGATTGTTACAACACTGTTGTTTGGTCATGTTCGAGTAATTGTTATAGATAGTTTCTTTTAACAGATACAGCCAAACTGAGTTTAAATCCACCATGGTTTGTTTGATTGTGTAGACGTTCAGAAGGTTGAGCCAGCAATTAGTTTAAGGGACTACGCATAATCTGATGGAGCTAGTATGTATTTTCTTCCTAAATTAAATTGAAACTGGTTGAATTGTCCCTGTCCCTACTGCCCAAACCAATTTGAACAAACTTGGCATAACAGTATTTAAATATATTTAGAGATTAAAAAGTATTTGAAAAAAAAGAAATTAAGAAAGGGCTGTGGATATAACTCAGTAGCACAGTGCCTGCCTGACAAGTGTGAGGTTGTGAGTTCAATTCCTGGTACCAATTTTTTTTAAAAAATGTATTTGATATATGAAATTTGAAACATTAACAATTTCGTTGCAAGTGGAAATACCACGTAGACCTCTGCTTTGCCTGTGTAGACACACTGCGGGTCCTAGCCATTGCGTTCAGGGAGTTTAATCTGGTTGGTGGTGGAAATAACTCCTGGCAGAAGCTTTTTGTTCTGTGCCACTGCACCTGCCTAGCTAGGCCTAGCTTTTTGCCCCCTAAAATGAGAGAAAAAGGCAGCTAAGGTTTTGCTCTCTCTGAGTAGTGTATCTTTTAGCAGTGGGAGCCCTAGTGCCTCTTGTCCCTTTTGCTCCTGTCTCTTCTGACAAAGGCTGACTGCCTCCCTGGACTGGGGACGTTCCCAGTCTTGAAAGCAAGTTTGCAAGGTTTTTGTTTTCTTCTTCTTTCGTGTGTGTGGCCTTCTTCTAGTCTCATAATGCTGGGCCCTTGCTGGCCCTGGCTACTAGTTGGGAACTATCTGGATTGGTGCCTTGGGACACTGTTGTGTGAAGCCTCAGGTTTTCAGACCTAAGGGCCATGGTTACGCCGGGCAGGTGAACAGGACGGAGCAGGCTGTCTCATCTGGTTTGAGATCTGTGTGCCTTTTCTGTCCCCAGAAACAAGGGCTGTTGCTTCATGATTGGAAGCATCTCCTGACCTTTTACTACCGAGCTTCTGAGTTCCTGAGAAGATGGGCTGACATTTAATAATGCGTAAAGCACGATAGTAGTCTTCTGCCATTTCGCACCACGACTTGCTGCCTTTTCAAGAAGTTTCCTGCCCATCTGAGCTGCTTTCTTTAGTACTTAGAAAAGCCATTAGTGTGTGTGTGTGTGTGTGTGTGTGTGTGTGTGTGTGTGAGAGAGAGAGAGAGAGAGAGAGAGAGAGAGAGAGAGAGAGACTTGGAATTGTGGCTCTAAAGTTGATGATTTGCAGAGGAAGCAGGGAAGGGTGGCATGGCCCTACTCTGAAAGGAATAACGGAGGTGTAGCTTTGGGAGAGCCACTTTTGAGTCACATGTGACAGCATCACCTCTTTGCAGAGACTTTTGGCAGAAGAGGCGTTTAACGTGTGATAAGGTCAGGCTTTGGGTGGTGCTGGGGGTGCTTGAAGCAGATACAAACTGGTGAGTGGAAGGCCACCTGTCTCAGTCTAGCCCGAGTGACATTTCTAAACTGAAAATCTCTGTGAAGATGTGATACCGGTTTCCTGACATCATGCAGTGTCTTACCTAGACAGAAGGATGCGTCGGGTGCCAGTAACAGCTTAATCCTACAACCTGGACTCTCGTCCTGGATTATTTTCTTCCGCCTTGTTCCTGGCCACCTGTTCCAAGTGTTCAAATCCACCACTTTCGTGCAAAAGCAGTCTAAGCCAATATATAAACAAAATGTCATGGCTACATTCCAATAAAACTTTATTCACAAAAACAGGTGGTGGGCCGGATGTGGTCCACAAATTGTAGCTTGTCAACCTTTGCTTCTAATTTTAAAATGGCTTACTTTTATCAACCTTTACCAGAGGAAAGCATTAATGAAAGGCTTTCTTAAAGGAAGAAGACAAAGATGATTAATATGGTTGCTTTAGCCTGTCTCCCTAAAAATAATACTCCTTTACTTAGTGGTTATTTGTTCTGCTGCATTGCTGTTTATCACTGTGGTGGTTTGAAGGAGTTCAGGATTTTGTATTATTGGTTCCTGTTTATAGTTGGGATTTTTCTTCTTCCTCTAAAGATCTGAGTAGGTATTGAAAAGGCTGCTCTGGTAGCTCAGTTGTTTGGTACAGGTTCTAGGTTAATTATTTGGGTCTTTATGTCAGACTGCTTGAATTAAAATCCCAGCTGTACTTTTTTTTTTTTTGGCAGAACCAGGGATTGAACTCAGGCCCTTGCGCTTGTCAGGGAAGTGCTTATTCTACTGAACCATCTCCCTGGCCCCCAGCTGTACCTTTTATTAGCTGTATGGAGGCAGACAAGTTCCTTAACTTCTCTCTGTCTTGGTTTGCTCATCTTTAAATGAAAAACTAATAAAAATAGCATCTTCCTTATCAGTTGGTGCAAAAGTATTAAATGGGCAGTGTATGTAAAATGTCTAGTGTGGTTGACTGGCGTGTAGTGAGCACTCATTAAATGTTAGCTTTGATTGCTTTAATTTTCTTCGTTGTCAGAAATTAGCTGTAGCATTTTGCTTGTAGTATATACTTCCAGGAAACCGATAGCATCTAGAGTTTGTTCTCTAGTGTATTATTTTTGCCCCTGAAGATAGCTTTGCTGAGTTTTGCTCTATAGTAAGTGGCACTAATAAGTGCTATAACTTATGCCTTGAGCTACAGATATGTTGCTTGGGGAGAGCTGTGCAGATCTTCTGATTAATACTGTTTGTGTACAGCAAACCCAAGACAGGATGCTATGACTGTAGTGCCCCACTCGAGGCCCTGATGTCAACCATCTGCCCTGACTTGCTTTGCTCTCAAAAACCCAAAAGGTTTTGTTCTCCTGTGTTTTCTGTCTTTGGCAGCTGAGTCAGTGCTGTCACATCACAAACAACTTCTTTTCTTAATATACACATCTGGCGTTGGCAGTTGGACGAACTTCATAAGAGCACATGATCATCACTCATTACAAGATTAAAAAGCACCCCGTGGCATCATCGATGTTTTTTCACTTTGATCTTTTGCAGTCGTGATTCATCTCAGTTATAAAACTTCCCTTTAAAGGAACATCGCCAATGACTTATTAGAACCTTCATCTCAAGGAGCGTAAACATGGAAATGGGGCGCATCCTTGCAGTGTGCCATGTATTTCCTTTGCCAGCTTATCATTTTAAGACATGACATCATGCCTGAGATCCCAAATTTGTAAGTCTTGTATGCAGGCGCGGCGTCTTGACCTTCTGTTGGCAAGTCAGCCGCATCTGTCGGCCAGCAGAAGCCGGTGCAGCGGTGGCTGCAGGGGTGATGCATTCGGGTTCTTTCCCCTCTTAGACATCAGAGCCTGTTAGCGTCTTCTGTTTCCTGGGTGCCCTTGGTTCCAACCCTCACCTGATGTAAAGAATTTCTGTGGGAGGAGAAAACTTGCTTAGCATTGTCATATTCTGTAGGATGGTTCTGAGTTGATGGAGAGGGCTGATGGCATGTTGGCTCTGTGCACAATGGGGGAAGTAAATCGCTTTACGGTCAGAATCCCCCTCCTTCCCTTGCTGCACTCTCAGTTATCTGTCGCTAACCAGTAAAGACTGCGAAGCATAACAGCTTATGTTTGGATAACCACTTTCTGTTCCTCACAGCGCCGTGGGGTTCCCTTGGGTGGTTTTGCTGCTGGTCGTGTTTGGGGGCTGTTGTGTGGCTGCAGTCATATGTGGCTGTTGTGTGGCTGTCAATCATTGTGGCTTGGTGAGGTGGCCTAGAGAGTGGACAGAGGGCTAGCTGCCTCCCAGCCCTGCTTTGTGGAGTCCCAGAACCTCCTCCTCTCCATGAGGTCTCTTCACGTGGGCTCTCTGGGACTCTGTAGGGCCATCTGGCTTCTCACGTGGCATTTCAGGCCTCCTTCAGACACAAAGATGGTAGCTGCTGAGTTTTGAAGGCCTGGGCTCAGAGCTGGCACAGACTGGATTCAGAGGGAGCAACCGTGCTAAGGTGTGAGTTGGGGGAGTGGTCCAAGAGACCCCTTGACTCACTCTTTCCACAAAGGCTTAGCTGGCAAGCATCATCGTGGCAACAGAAGGATTACGTTTTTCAAGGTACCAACTTCTGAAAGTCCCTCTGACCTTTTAAATCCGCAACTTGTAAAGTTCTGCAAAGTGGGTTTGGGTTTCAGTTATGGCAGCCTCATTCTGAATTGAACAAATCTGCAACTATCAGATGAATTAGGGTGGGCATTACCTCGTGGTACTTGGTATCAGCAGGTCAGCGTGAGGCTGAGGCCGATCAATGCTAATGTGAGAGAAGAGTGTTAAGTGTTTGAACCAAAAGAGGTGTGATCCTCGTGTATGCCACCAGAAGGCTGTGGCAGAATTATCCGAATCTTCAAATGGACACTTTTGAAGACTTTCTATCCCCTCTTTTCTTGTTTGGTGAAGAGGCACCAGTCACTGAACCCCAGGCCTCTGCACTGAG